CTCGTATACAGGCCAGCATGCATCAACCCCAAATCCCTATATAAACTCCGAGCCCAAAATCCCGAACCTCAAGCCTCAGCTACGCAGCACTTGGTAGTTTTCCTAAAGCAGGGGGACTTTAATATAGACCCCAAAATACTATAATCCTTATTCTGGGGACCCCCGAAAAGGTACCCCTGATTTTTGGGAAACCAACACTTCTGGGGGTGGCACGTGTGCTTGAGCTCTGGGTAGTACTGGGGATTCTTTGTCAAATCCTTGGCCATGGGTTTCTTGGAGGGTCAGGGGGGCTTAGTAAGTATATGGTCCCCCTTAAGTAGATAGAATATGGGGTACAGGGGGATCTTATTAAAATATGCCCAAAGCCATATTCTATCTACTTAAGGTGGACTATGCTTCTAACCCCTTCCAGCCCTAAACCCTAAACCTACTAAGTCCCCCTGACCTTCCAAGTCTGCTTTGCTATTCAAAGTTCAGGCAAAAAGGTTGACAAGTAATGCCTCCAAATGAGTTCTATATGGATAGGGGTCATGGAAAAGAAAATGGAAACTACGATAATGGAGAATCAAACGGAAAAGAAAATGGAAAATGACATGGACACTAGGGAATACATGGGGGCTATAGTATTGGGGTTATGTAGGGATCATGGAAAAGAAAATGGAAACTACTACAGTATATTGGTGTTATATACGGATAATGGAAAAGAACATGGAAAAGACTATGTTGTTGCGGTATATACAGGGCTTGTACAAACACCTGAAGATGGTGGACATTTCCGTCTGTAAATGATGTCTATCCTGCAGTATTCATCGTACATTTGAAGATCATGAGCTTAAGATGGTAGTTTCCTTATATAAGGGGACCCCAATATAGACCCCAATATACTATAGCCCATATTATGGGGACCCCCAAAATGGTACCCCTAATTTTAGGAAACTCCCAGACGCAACTTTCCAGAATGTATCTGAATGAGTGGAACTTTGGCAGTCCAGGCAAGATCTCCAAATTACGGCCGCATTTTCTTGTCCCATCTCACTCGCTTCAGGCAGTTCGAAGAATTGTTCCTAAAGCCGAGACAGGCCCTTCTCTTATTGCTTCTTAGTAGGGAAAAAGGGAATCCAATACCTATATCATCCCCATAGAATCTATTCCCTTATTCCCTACCCTAAACCCTAAACCCAACCCTACGGTGGATACTAAAAATCCTGCATGCCCTGAGTACCCTAAACCTGGGGAATAATGGTACTCAGGTCATGCAGGATTAATAATATCAACAGTAGCTCTGGCGCTTTGCTCCTGAAAGTCTCACATTCTCCTTGAGTTCTCCGCTTGGTAAACCACATGTAGCGGCTTCCGCCAAATGGTTTAGGGTTTGGAGTTTAGCGTTTGATGGTTTCCGCCAAAATTGAAATCCCTTTTGAGGGTACCTGTTGGGGTTCAGGGTTTAGGGTACCTATAAGAAGGATTATGATATTTGGGTTGATGGAAACTACCATGTCTCGAACTCCTGTTTGCTAAACTTCTTCAATAACTAACCTGCGGGGCATTAGCAAACATTTTGAGCCTTTCTCTCATACTCGTGAGGACAGGACCTTTCTTGGGGAGGAGGTGGGTATTTCAAGAAACTGGGTTACGCCTAGCATACCCAAAATTCATGATCCTTGCTATGAGGATTCCGCTCCAACAGTCCCCTCAGCTTGGAAACCTTCATGCGAGGGTTTTGACGACTTGCACGCGAGACAGCGGTGGAGACGAGGCCGATCAGAAGCTTAGCTGCCGGCCCGCGCAAAAATGATGGAATGGTAGTAGCCTGACAGTTTGGGCCCTAACCCAAAGCCCTAAGCCCTGGGTTGATAATGTTCCTGGGGAAACTCATGCGTGGTTCAAGCTTCTGGAATCATTCTGGACATTGGTTCTCTTGGCCTTAGATACCCTGCTGGAAAGAAACACCGATCCATCACACAACTTGTACTAGAGGGACCCCCAAAATAGTTAGAGTAGCAGCCGTTTGGCATGTTTAGGCGGTTTTTGAGGCGTGATTTTGCTGACTTCAGGGGTCTTATGCTTAGGTTCCCTTGCCAAATTTAGGTGGTGTCAATGCATAATAAGGGCCGAATTGTTACCTTGGCGCTTTCTGGTAGCTAGCACCATAACTACTTAGGAACCCAAGGATTGACTGTATGTTCAGGCTCCCGTACTATAACCAGCGGGTCCAAGTACCCAATAATTAGGTACCGGGCTTTAGGGTACTAGTAACTACAGTACATGTTTTGGGTAAGTATATGATTCATAGGTACTTGGACCCTTAGGGTAAGGGCTGCGGTGGGCTTCAGGACGAGCACGTCCATCCAGACGCGAGATGCATTTTCGAAGGGACAGGAGTGCCAAAAGACTGCTTGGAGGGCCGGGGACATAGTAATTTAAACAGTTACACAAGTATACCTCTGCGAAGTCAAACTTGGTCTCACTGTGTATAGACTTGTACATACGTGTATACAAGCAAATAACAGGTCCGCCCTGCGCCGCCTTGCAGCATGCCAACCCTTTCGACAAACTGTTAAATATGGCCGCAAGCACCAATGCACAGCGACTGCGATGACACAACTACAGAGCACCAAAGTACTCCCAGTCGAGCTTTGTTCATGCAACAAGGGCGGCGGTGAAAGAACAAACGACTGGCTGCACATCTGCAACCCCGCACCTTAAACCCTTGTAGGTGAGAACTGAATAAGGATGAATATTCCCCTTCCCCTATTCCCTACTAACCACCAGATCCACCAGTGTCTAAAACCTCCGCATCCACAGCATTGAAGCATCCTGTCTGCTTGAATTCTAGCATTCCGACCTGCCCGCACCTTCATGGGGGACTTTCCCAAAACAAATATAGATAGCAGGTAAAGATCACTACTTGCCATTGGCACGTGCGTAGTTTCATTAATAAACTATTTTGAAGATGCGATAGTCTTCCAAGTGTTTGTATATGCTTCGCGCTTCATCTCTTTAGCTTTTTCCTGAAACCACCGTGCCTTTAAAACTCTCAAAATCTCAGTAGACAGAAACCCGGGAAAACAAAAACAAATGTGTCCAAGGTCCGGAAAGAGCGGCCAGAGCCCTGAAAACGATTCAGCTGACTTCATGGCCTTAAGGGTCGAACGGCAGAACTTGTAGTAACATTGATAACCGAAGTATTCAGATAGCTGATATTCAGGTCCATGGTTGTCTTTCTGGGAAAAGCAACAATTGAGGATCTCCTTGTTAGGGGCTCCGCGCAACAAGGGTTACACTATTTGGGGGTGTATACACGGTGCGATATTAGTTTGGACAGACCAATATACCGGAACAAACCTAGGCTCACAGTATGTGGTATTAATCCCCTCCCTCCCCTGATGAAAAACACATTCCGAGTATATTGAGAGATTCTGATAATGGCAAGATTTTACATTAAGGGTGTTCAAGGGATTATTGAGCTTTTTTTAAGGGAAGGGATCAGGTACTTGGACCCATAGGGAGACGACTGTAGCTGTGGCAGTGGCAGTCTGCTGCTTTGAACAGCTCCCCCTTCTTGAAGAAGTCATTGCCCTCTACCTGGTCATAAGAGTGCTTGGGATTTCAAATCTTGGTGTTGGAACCATGTACGATGACATTCTTCTTAGAGAGTACTACAGCCAAATAAGAAAATAACCTTACTCTATCTATGCGGTTGACCAGAGTATCCTTATTGGATCTTCAACTTGCCAATATGATGTTCATTGGGCCCTTTTCTACCTGTAGCACCTGAACACGATGTTACATACCACGAAGTACAGCCGCGGTAAAAGCTATATCTCTTCTGATACCTAGCAATTGCGAGTTGGAACCAACGCCGCTGATTAATGATCACAGTGTTGCTGCACTATTTCCAGGGCTGGACAGGAATAAGCCCTAAACCCTAAACCTGATTCCATTTGGGATCGCCAAGTGAGTCTTGTGTAGGCCTTAGTTTGAGAAGCTGTCATATGACAGATGTGCTGTTGCGGGGTCAAGCCAGACGTCGGTTTCCCCTATTAAACGCTCTCAAAGTATACGGGTAACTCTGTTGAAAAGCTCAGGGATACAATGACACTATGCTGGCACCTGGTAATAGATTTGAGTTCTGAGGCGACAGGGGTAGGCCTGCTTTTGTTGGCCTCAATTCAAGTCCTATCGCTGAAGCTGCAAATCCCAGACTGTGCCTGTAGAACCTTCATCGCCGAACCGTAAACTTGGAGGGTTCTCGAACCCGTACATCCCTCTGGGGACCTGAAAAGTTGAGCGAGCGACAATAATTTTGGTTGCTAATGACTGCAACTATACCTGAAATCATCTCATCAGCTGGGTGCGAGGGATGCTGTTTAAAAGAGCCCATGGAGAGAGGAAGCCGACTTAACAGCATGTGAGCTATAGTCTAAACTTTCTAAACTCCTAGTATCCCCCTTAATAACCCCTATAGTAGTCCCCTCTTTATAACCCCCTTTAAGGAGTTTAGACTATAGTACATATGATGTGGTAGGAGTTGCAAGATGGTGGGCCACGGGTACTTCAGGGATGCATTGGGTGGCTTGGGGTTAGGATTGAGGGTTTAGGGACACAGCTGGGACTGTTCTGCGGATGCCTGCACGAGAATGAACGTTCAGACATGGGTCGCTCTGCAAGGCTAAACCAGGCAGGATTACTGAAAGCTAGAAACTCCAGACAAGTTAAAGCTTTGGCATTTCCAGCAAATTTCATGATATCTGGACATACTGTGTCTTGGCTGATCTCGCGCAGCTCACGCGAGAAGCACACCTTCCGAGTCTTTGTGAGTCCCACTTGTAAATAGAAAGTCTACGAATCAACATGCCGCATCATACACCCTCAGAACTGCGAACAAACGGGATAGTAACTAACATCCAACTGTCTAATAGCGATTGCGCGTCCAGACATTGTTACCAGGCCCCCACCACATTAACAACAGCATGACAAGGAGCGCTCCTTTGGAGGGCTCACCTGGAAACTGACAGCAGCTGCACAATCTCTACGTCGCCATTATGAGCCGCAAGCATGAGAGCTGTTTCGCCAAATCGATCTTGCAGATCCTTATCAGCTCCCGCCTGCAACAGCAATCGTACCACCTCGAGGTTGCCGCAGGACGCTGCGTAGAACAAAGCTGTGCTGCCATCTCCATCCAGTGTATCCCTGCTGGCACCAGCTTCTAACAGCAATCGCGCAAGTTCCAGGTGGCCGTTCTCAGCCGCATGCATAAGCGCCGTCATACTTGTGGAATCCTGGAGGTCGATATTCGCATTCGCTGTCAAAAGCAACTGGGCGACTTCCATGTGGCCGTGTCTAGCTGCACACATGAGAGCTGTGAGGCCAGATCGGTCCTGCAAGTTCTTGTTCTCTCCAGCCTCCAGCATTAACCCAACAGTGTCCACACGGGCATGCGCCGCTGCATCAATGAGGGCCATTTCACCGGATGCACCAGCTTCCAACAGCAACCGCACGACCTCCACGTAGCCGTTTTGGGCTGCTAGCATGACAGCAACGTCGCCGTGCTCAGCCTGCAGGTCTTTGTCAGCACTTGCTACCAACAACAACCGCACGATCTTTGCGTGGCCTCTGCAAGCTGCACGCATTAGAGCTGTGCTGCCAGACCTATCCTGCATGTTCGTGTTGGCGCCAGCTTCCAAAAGCAAGCGCGCGATCTCCACAAGGCCGCCCTCACAGGAATCAAAAAGTTCCTTGGCAGCCTCAAGCTGTTGTGCATCTGTAGATACAGGCGACAGTACCACCTGAATGTCCATGGGGCCATCCGGCTTGGTAGCATCATCCAACCTCTTGCCCTCGTGCAAAAGCTGTTGAATACACACAGGAAATCCAAACAAGCGGCGAAGCGACATCTTCAGCTGCTTCACATTACTGACCTCTTCAACACTCATGGCTATCAGCTCTTCTCCCGACATTCTCCAGATGCGGAGCATACCAGAAACAAGATGTTGTATATGCCAAAGAAATCGTCGCTTCCGGAGGACCCTTGTAGGTGGATGGTTCTCAGCGCTCAAGTTTTAGCACATGCCCGGGATTTGTGAAACTTTCAAGAGGCTGCCAACTGCAGCAGAAGGGCGTGACTAAATCTAAAGCACAATTGCGGCATAGGTGTCGGCAACAGAATCTACAACATGCGCACGCACGCCTCGTAGCGATCATTACCCTGAATCACATTCTGTTTATGGAAACCCCAGGCCACTGGACCACGAGACCCCAAAGTCGTATTTGTAAAGCTCGAACCTCTAGCCAGCCTTTTGCGGGCTTGAGCTGCCAGCAACGGGGCGCGCATGCCGTACCCGAGCGATCTGATCCCTCTCTCATCTGGCAATAGACCCCAAACCCTCAAAGCCCAAGCCCCATGTTCAGGGCCGCCTTCCACAGCAGTGACGTTTCCAGCTGCTGAAGTGGAGTCATCTTTTTCTTTTCCTCAAGGAATATTATAAAGTTACCCCAATGTTTTAGGGATTCTCGGGATTTTAAGGGTTTGGACTGAGGCCTTGAGATTTTCAGGACCAGCTCTCCACAAGATTCCACAAGGGTCCACATACACAGCGTCTTGAGAAAGTGAGGTTACCTGGGGATGTTGCTTTCAGGCCATAAGTCACTGCTGAAGGCATTTTTGTTGCAAAATTAATACCATTTTGGAAGGGAGGGGTCCTCATTTCACGCACATACCCGCCGGTCTAGAGCAAAGAAGGTGGGCGAAGGTGCTTCGGTGGTTCGGCCAAAGATTTGCCCTCAGAAGGGATGTAAACGATTCATCTGGGCCTAGGGTTCAGGGTAGTTTAGGGTTTAGGGTAGCTTAGGGTTTAGGGTAGTTTAGGGTTTAGGTTTTTGGAGGTAGTTAGGGTTTATAGGGTTTAGGGTAGTTTAGGGTTTAGGGTAGTTCATGGGTTTAGGGTTTTGGGGGTAGTTTAAGGTTTATTGGGTTTAGGGTAATTTAGGGTTTAGGACTTCGGGTAGTTTAGAGTGTAGGGTTTAGGGTGGGATCAACTAAATTGCATAGTCCCAGTAAAGCCCTACACAAACCCAGTCTGCACGTAATGTCCATGTTCTTTTCCAGTTGGTTCTGCGATATCTTAGATCCTGTATGACCTCTATACAATGACTATTGTACTTCCAAGAACCCTAAATAGCGCTTCCTGTTTTACGGACCAAGATATATGACCGTTGTATACTGGACGAACTAGGGTTGTGCTTACACAAGCGATTCCACGCAACTCTCCTCAACTGAACCTTAACCCTTAACTCCCAAACGCTCAGCCCAAAATAGCTCGAACGCATACATTCTCAATTTCAATAAACCCTAAACACAGCAAAACACACACACACACACACACACAACAATGCAAATCCAAAACCTCCCTAGATTCATCCCCCTGAACCCTGAACCCTAAACCCTGAACCCTAGACCCTAAACCCTAGACCCTAAACCCTGAACCCTAAACCCTAAACCCTGGACCCTAAACCCTAAACCTCCTACCAGACCCTCAAACCCTGAGGCAAAGGCCGCTTCGAGTGCATCCAGCGCCTTGTCTGAAGCACTCCGGGTATCCTGCAGAACGGTCAAGGGCTGGTTTAGGGTTTAGATGGCGAATATGTTCTCCTTCTGAATGAAATGTAGGTTAATTGCTATAAGGTTCTTTAAGCTATATTCTATTCCCAAAATCCTGTACAGGGCTCATGGAGGTTTACTGGGGTTTCTAAGTCGTGGGTTCCACGGCCCCCTGTACTCCCTCCCTCAGGTTAGCCTACATTAGCTCAGATGATATCTGTTTAAGGCGTGTTAAGGGGCAACCTGCGCGGGGCAGTAGGGGAATCAATGACTAAGAGGTGATGAAGATGACAATTACCAAATTTTAGGGTTTAGGGTTCAGGGTTTAGGCTTGTAAATTACCAAATTCCAGGCTCCTACAATGTACGGCTGCTAACGTCTGGAAGCAATGCGCAAAGTACCAGTGACTCAACACTTTTTGTGAGATATACTGAAGCCAGAGCCCATTACTCATAAGAATTATGGCAGATCGTAAGAAGAATCATAGTTATAGCAATACTACTTGTAGAAATAAAGATATTTAGGGTTAAATGGGGATAACGCGAAAATGGAAGTTATACTACCCACCCTAGTTTTGCATCTGACCCTGGGTCCTAAAAACCTTACCCCAAAATTCTGCTGAAGTCACGTGGTTGCGCCTCCTCCTCTGCTTGAGCCGCATCTTCTCCCTGACTTCCAGCGGGGGGGCGAGGCGTCTGAATAGGCTTTAGCAGTTGATGCCCAGGGTTTGGGGGGTTTAGGGGTTTAGGGTTTAAGGGTTCAGGGATGTGCGGTCTAGGGTGTAGGGCTTCAGGTTGGGGCTGAGGCTTTTGCGAGTATAGGGTGAAACGTGTGGACCGCTCATGTATGCTTCATCACCGGCGCCACCGGCCCGAAGAATCAGGAGGCTACTTGGAGGGTCATGGGGACGTAGTAAGTAGCTTCATAATTGGGAGAACTGGGGTTACTATATGTGTTATTGGGCTTCTCAACCTTTCTTACTAAGTCCCCCTGACCATCCGCAGTTGATGAGGACCGCAGAAAGAGACCCTTCTTGGTGTCTATGGGGTTCATGGACGAGAAAATGGAACTTACTTAATTATAATAGGGAATATATAAGGGTATATATAGGGATAATGGATAATGGAAAAGAAAATGCAAACTACTCTATATATACCCGAAACCCTAAATCCTAAAACCCTAAATCCTAAACCCTAAATCCTAAAACCCTAAATCCTAAAACCCTAAATCCAAAAACCCTAAATCCTAAACCCTAAATCCTAAACCCTAAACCCGAAATCCTAAAACCCTAAATCCTAAACCCCAAATCCTAAAACCCTGAATCCTAAAACCCTAAACCCTAAACCCTGAATCCTAAAACCCTAAATCCTAAAACCCTAAATCCTAAAACCCTAAATCCTAAACCCTAAATCCTAAAACCCTAAACCCTAAACCCTATAAACACCCTAAGGTTTCTGTTGCGAGGCCTCATCTCCCGTCTCTGCCTGCTCTACGTCATCCTGAGCTCCTGGCGTCAGCAAGCCCATCCGGTTTAGGGTTTAGGGTTAAGGGTTTAGGATTAAGGGTTTAGGGTTTAGGGTTTAGGATTTAGGGTTTAGGGTTTAGGGTTAAATCACAAGCAAGGGAAATATGAGAGAGAGATATATGGGTTTAGGGTTTGCATCTTAGTTTCAGGTTTAGGCCTTATGTATAAATATATATATATATATGGTTCATAAACACAGTTGCATAGAGTAGTAATACTACTGTTGAAGTATTATATAGTCACATATTTGGAAGGATGAGAACATGTAGTATGTAAGGATCACGTAGTCATACGGTGTTGACTTTACGGTGTTCGCGCAAGCTGTGGGGATTAGAGGCTGCCGGCATGGGGGATACGCTTGCTCAGACAAATCCTGGCACAACCCCGAGTGCCCAAAATCCTGGAAACTACAAACGGCTTGGGATATGACGCGGTGCAGTATTTGTGTCAGCAGTTATCAATGACATACAGGGCTTCCCTGTTCAGGGCTTACAAGGTGTGTGGTAGGAATGTACAACGTCCTCTTCCTGCTTCTTGTAAGCTTTCGGTATACATTGCTCTTTCCACCCCCTCTTCCTACTCCATCAATCCAGCTGGCACTGCAAGTGGAGGCCCTGGAAATATGGATGAGGTACTGCTAGGGCTCTACCTAGGCAACTTTGAATTGCCCCCAAGGCTTACTAGTACACTAAAAACTCGCCCCATCGCCCACTCGTATTCCTATGACAGCACCTTCCAAGTCTTAGTACAGTATATTGCCTTGCCTGCGAGCTGCTACTACCCATACTCCTACCACCACTACGGCTACCAGCAGCAGCACCAGCAAAGAACCAGGCAACAAGAATTTGCCCTGGTGTTTTGGCCACGGAGCCCTGACCCTGCACCCAGAGCCCCAAAACCGAACAGCTCATGCCTGAAGGCATAAACTGCTGCATAGAAATAACCTCATCCACTAAAGCCTAAACTCTACATCTTACCTGGACCTTCTAAATACCCGCACTAGCAGAATACATATATATATATATATCCATCATTCTGGGGTTATAAAGATATTGTAATCAGTACTCGGGAGGTCTGGATAACTCTAGAGGAGCTCCCAAATGTCCTTCAGCCATTTTGGCATCGGAACTGCTGGCTGCCTGCGTGCATGCGGAGAGTTCGCGGCTTAGCAGACCCATGACTAAGGGTTTCGGTCTTTGTGTGTAGATTTTGGGGTTTAGGACTTAGGATTTGGGGTAACTGTGTTACAAATGAAGGCTTAGGTTAGGCCCCACTCCCTAAGTGACAGATAACTAGGGATCATTTGTAATATGTGGGCCTCTAGATAACCCTATGATAAATACTATCACTGGGTGGTGGCCAGAATTAAACGAATGGCTTTAGGGGAGAGAAACAGCTGTACCTATGAAAATGGGCTTTGTAGCTTTGCACCTGATACGTAGGCATCTTTACGTTTGTTGACGGTGCTTGGTTCCTCTGCGCAGGTGTCATGCATCAGGTCTAAGACCTAAATCATGATTTGGATTTTGTGGCCAAGGAAGACTTGAAACAATCTAAAAGCCACACTGCGAACCTCTCTCGGCAACTCCTCAATAATCACGTCTTCGTCGCCCATGGCCTCAGACAAACTGATCAAAAGACACTTCGGGCGCGCACTTGGGACAATTCGACATAGAGCACCCTAAATCCTACAAAGAAAAGGTCATGTGGCTAGCTGGGGCTGTGGTTGTGGTTGTTGTTGCCTGGATTTCAAGCACACGATTCGGGAACCCCACTTTTGCGAGTTACGGAAGACCCGATCTGCTCCCCCCACACCGTCACCCATCCACTGGCGTCCCCCTGACACAGGCACC